CTCGAATTCACTCCAATAAATTCACGGGGCGCGTATCGGTTTGGATCTGTGAACCCACGGTATTTTAATAGGTTTGCAAGTGACGACTCATTTAAGAAAATTGTGACCAAAACGGCCGACGAACTCGCTAACGGGATCAAAAAGAGTTTGGAGGAACTTGAAGTGGATCATGACCCTTCCCATGCAGAACAACGGCCGCATACAAACGTTGAGCTTTCTCAGTCTTTAACTCCTCTCTTCTGTGACGTTACTTCACAATCAAGCAAGCGATCGGGACACAATAGGGAGGAAGGAAGTTATAGGAAAAGTATACAGAAGAGGTGCAACGAATGTCAACTAGATAGTAAGTAAGATTTAATAATAACAGGCATGTTATCAAATGTTACCTGCTTTGGATCGAGAAAGAATAATAAGTGAAGCATTTGTATCAAGAATTTCTGGCTACCTGATAGACTGTAAACCATGCAATCCTGATTTTCATTGAAAGCTCAATAGAGTTAACTGATGAATGTGGTCAAAATAGGATGCATATAGCTTTTTTATGTGAGACTTACATGCGGTTGAAAAATCTGCAACCGCTTACCATTCACAAAAAGGCCTGTAAAATCAATATCATACCAGAGTAATACCATGCACATCATCAGATTAAAATAGGGTAAAGTCTTAAATTTTTCGCTCGAAGGTTTACATAGACAGGTATTTGTTCTTTGAGTTATTTTTCCTTTTTTTTTTTTTTTTAAGTGTTGATGTTGCCATTTTTGTTGGATTATTGCTATCATTATCTTTATTAATATTATTATCATCATTATTTATTATTACTCTTATTATTGTTATCTTTGATACAACCACTATCATTATTATTATTATTATTATTATTATTATTATTATTATCATTAGTGGAAGTGGTAGCATCGTTGTAACATAATGATCAATAGTATTATCATTGTCGTTCTTTTTTTATTTCCAGATAAGGCACATTTAATTTCCATCGACAATTTAATCCTCCCTCCAAAGAAAAGACAGATAAGAGAAGTAGACACCGCCTTCCTTGAGCAGTTGATTAAAAACATGAGTGAGCAACCCTCTGGGAATTATGAAGCGCTGTTTGTCTTGGCAAAAGGAATTACCAAGAAAGACCAGTTTGAGTTGGAAAAGATAAATGAATATAAATATGAAGTTCTCGGTGGAACTCATGTTGTCTTGGCTACGAAACATCTTCGTGAGAAATTTCCTCACGACGCCAACTACAGCGGAAGGGTGGCCAGGATATATGTTGGGCTCAATGATGAAGAAGCCTTGTGGTTAGGAGCCATGCACAATCAAACTGGGGCATTTCGTCACGAGCTCACGTACAGGAATGAGGTAAGGTCAAAATTTGTCTATTGTGAAATGTGCCAAATGTTGAAAACAATTCTTAGTTTGTTTTTTGAATTTTTAGATTTTTTTTTTCAAATTACTATAATAATTATCAATCATTATAAATATATAATTTGAATTTCTCGCTCTGACGAAGGGCTAACGCTTGATACATCAGCTTGGAACTCTTTACGGTGACCAATTTACGTTATCAACTCAGTTGATAATACCAATAGCCTTGTCATACTCTCCTTTCGACGTATCACCGTAGTTTCTTAAGAAATTAACCCCTTTAATTATAAGTTTAGTCTGTTCTGTTTATATCTTTGCTTTCAAAATTTTGTATGTGAATTCATGAGTACATTTAAAAAATCATTCCAGTTTCTTTGCCAGCTGTTTGGCAATCAGATGCTGCTTTTTTCCATGTTAATTTTCAGTTGAATTGGGAACTTTATGTAGTTTGGATTATTAACAAATGTGTCACTAAAAATGTTTTCCATTCCAATATTCAAGGTTGAGATTTGTCGCACCCAATTATTCCTGCCAGCGGAAGACTATTCAGGTGATCCACCAACCCCTCCTGAAGCGTGGAGAGAGAAGTGTTCGAGTCTGCTTAAAAAATCGGTAAGATTGTGAAAATATATACTTGTTACTTTCACAAGTAATCCACCGACTTGCAGGTGTTATTACTTGACACTTAAATTTCCTCTCAGTGAATGCACAGCAGGCA